AGCCAATTGTATAGCTGAACAAATCGATGGTAAGTCTACTTGCCAAAATCTGAACATACCAAATAAGTATTAGACAGAGACAGACAAACACACACACACACACACACACACACACACACACACACACACCCCTCTCACTGAACTATCAGAAAACGATGAGATAAAGATTAAAATAACTTCGATGTTCTACTGCTATTCCTCTGACGCTCTAACTTCTCTCGTACACCTTCAGCACAGGTGTGTATGAAGCTACAGGTTGACACATTTCACCATATGAAAGGCACAATCATAAGCTGACTATGTTTCTGATTACACTCTGAACACCTGAGTCCTAAGGGCTGGTGTCATTGGTATCCCATTTTCCAAATGGTGACATCAAGGCAGAGAGAGACTAAGAAAATGTCCCAAGGCCTACAGCTAGCGAATGGCAGCTCTGACTCCACAACCGATCCTCTTTGCCTGTACATGCATCTTGCTATGTGCTGAAATCAAAGGGGGCTTTCTAGAAAATGCTAGACCAAAGTTTAAACAATGACAATAATGATGATGGGGGTGATGGCACCACTGATGGAATCTTTGCCTGCTTACTCAGACATAGTGGGAGGCTTTTAAAAAAATAAAACAACTGCAACAATAACAACAAAAAATAATCTGATGTCATCTTCACAGCCTAGGGGATGAGAATCTTAATATCCTTATTTTAAGGTTAGGAAAACTGAGGCTCACAGAGCTTAAATAATTTGCTCACATTATAGAGTGGATATTGGGACTCCAGGTTAGTCTGGAACTCCAGGTCCATAGCTTAGGCTTACACCCTTGCCAACTTTCCATAATCGCCTGGGTCCCCAATCCAGTAAATGAGAAGAACCAATGTGTTCATCTAGCAGCACTAGAGCCAAGATCAATTTGTGGTCACTGATTACCAGGAAAACATATGCTACACTTTTCACCCCTGTATGAGGTTGAATACAATATAATTTTAAAATATCTTAGTATCTGAGTGAGACATGTGACTTTAGACTTTAGAATGCAGCGTTTTGTTAAAATTAACAATTTTGCCTGGAGGCAGAGGCAGGAGGATTGCAAGCTTGAGCCTAGCCTTAGCAACTTAGTGTCTTGAAATAAAAAATTAATAAAGAGCTGACAGTGTTACTCCACACAAAATCACTAGCACCAAAAATGACAGCAAAGTAAAATGAAATGAAACAAAACAATAACAGAACTTTGTTAAATAACGCCAGTGTCTGTCTCTGAATTAACACCTTATGAATGGGCAGTTCAAAAGGTATAATAATAACTGAACTTTTTCCAGAATATTTGCTCAAATTACTTGTCAAAAGAAAGAAAGGGAGCAGAAAAAAAATCCTTCAGTGTGTTGAAATTTTTTCATCTCTTTACATGTCCTGGAATCCAGTTAATGAAAACACAATTAGATTCTATGACAAAGATGAAGAATCGATGGCCATAGGTGGTGGGATTTCTTCCTGTTGAGAGCTGGCAGCCAAGAAGGAAGATTCTAGCATGCTCCTTCCTCACCCCATTCGGGAGACTGACCTAATACCATGTGGCTGCCTGTCTTGCAGGGGTGTGACAACCTCACACGGGTCCATTTGAGCTTTCAGGATAGGGGTGAGTTCAAAGTCAGGGGGCTTTGATCCACTGGGAAATCCTGTCTTTTGTTTCCAGGTAGCCCCCTCCAAACCCTCTCAGATCCTTAGCAGGTGTGAAGCAGGGATCAGGCACAACTCCCTTATTTGATGCCTTCTCTACAGACCTAACTTCGTTCTTGAGCGTAACTACCAGTAGCATGAGTGTCTCAGACTTCGTTGTGGCTTTCAATGATAGTACCATGGGTAAACATTCAAATGTAAAAAGTAGTTGCTATCAAGAACCCCAATAAAAGAATTTTTAAATATAGTAAGGATTTTGTCTCTGTAGCTTTTTTTTTTTTGGAAAATTCTGTTGAGTTTTTTAAGAAGATAAAAATGGAATGGGTATAGTATTCCTGCTTCAAATTTATTATTATTATCATCATTATTGTGTGTGTGATATTGGAGATTAATTCAGTTCCTTCATACTGAACTACATCTCTAGCCCTTTCATTATTTTTTTATTTTGAGACAGGACCTCACCAAAGGGCTGAGTTGTCCAGGCTGGGCATGAGCGTGCAAGCCTACCCTCTCAGAGTGTCATTCCCATAGTATTTTGAGTAAGACTAATTGTGCTAAGCTGATTCCGAAGTATTCTTACCTTTTCACATGCACACAGACACACACACAGATACACACACACACACACACACACACACACACACACATACACCCCAAGTAATTTTTTAAAAATAATTTTTCCTGACTTTATTTTTTTGGCCATAAGTATCTACCACCACCTCCAAAGATTAAAACAACAAGAACAACAACAACAATGAAAACAAAAACATAGTGCTTCATGAACGTGGCCAATTCATCATTTGGGATTATACTTTAATTCTCATTCTCTTTCATTACTAGAAAGAGGATATGACATCCTTGGAGATGTGCTAAAGCTCAGACAAGACTTTCGAGTAGGTATTGCTGATGACTCTGTGAATGCAATTCCTTTCCACTTTAGGAAGTTTGTGTGCCATATGAAATGTACTGTCATAACACAGTTTCTGAAATAAAAATTTGAAATAAAATTAGCAATCAGTATTCTACTGTGAAGATCATTTTCTCACGGATACCTGTGAGTTTGGAGAGTTAACCCTGGGAGGAGCCAGCAAAAGTTGTAACTCTAAGCCCTGAGAATGTGTAGCTAGCTATATGATCAGCCTTTAAATCATCAGAAGGATAAATTCTGAATAATTCATTCTAGACAATAAAGCATTTCCTCCATTACAAATACTCAAACGGTGAGGCATAGCGGTGCATTTTACTTAGAAGTTGGAATAGAAAAATCAAAAAGAAATTCTCATCAGTAGGTATGTTTTCTACCTTGACCTCTTAAAGTTCTCAGAAAGTGTGGTGGCACACACCTGCAATCCCAGCAGTCCAGGAAGCTAAGGAAAGAGGATCATAAGTTCAAGCCCAGCCTGAGCAATGTACTGATTTAATGAGAACTTGTCTCAGAGTAAAAAATAAAAATAAAAATAAAAATAAAAATAAAAATAAAAATAAAAAACAAATATAGGGCTGAGGATGTAGCTCAGCATGCAGGGTTGGATTAAATCGCCAGTACCAGGAAAAAAAATAAATTTACATCTCAAGGGCTGTCCACCTGGCAGTAGAAAAGCAAGGAGTTCTATTCTGGGCACACCTCCAGGCAGCAGCTTTCAGCACCAAGCTGATGCAGGTATGACTTGTACCTATTTCAACCAAGTTTTCCTCCACCCCCATACCCAGGCTGCCAGAAATCTTAAGAGGCTTTTGAGAACCTCCATTTAGTGTCGACTGCATAAAATGATCCTTTCATGAAAAGGGATTGGAACAAGGGTTAAAGCAGACACTGAAAGGTTACTGTAGAGGGCACAGTGTTCATACAACCCTCCTTTAATATGTGTGGTGTGCACCTGTGATAAGATGATTCATTGCACGGGGCCTCTCTTTGACAAGCGCCATCGTTCAGCCCCGGGCTTCTGATGGGACAATCCTGTACCCGCCTAGGAAATAGAACAAGGTCAGCTTTTTCTTTCCCTGGGATGTAGATGGAGATGGTTTAGCTTATAATGCATCTTTGTTTACTCTTTATGTAAGATACAAATGGGGTCAAAGACACTGCAATTCCCGCTCACTTCAGAGTGGCCAAGCAAAGGGTTTGTAAAAAAGAAATAACTCTGAGAAGGGAAATCTGGGAGGATGCTCTCTTGCTCTCTCTCCCTGGGTTTCTGATCACAAACAACTACAGTGGAGAAGCCAGAGGCCTCCCCACTCTGTGGGGCTCTGATTGGAGGCCACCCCTGACACCAGCAGCTTTAATCTTGTCTGCTTTCCACGTCACTGTCGGGTTTACTGGGCCATCCAAAGCTCTATCAGTACGTCATCTTGGGATGTGGGACATGGACCCACTAGCAGCATAAGGGCATGGTTGCTTTTTCCTGACATGAGGACAATTGATGGACATTGACAGACTAGAAGAAAGTCTGTAGGGGTGCAGGTGACTCCCGGCTTCCCTGAGGCCTGACAGGGGCTGTGGGGTGACACACAATCAGCATCTTTCTTTTCTTTTATAAAAAATTAATTAACTAATTAGTTTGTTTGTTTGTTATAGGGTCTTGCTATGCAGTTCAGACTTGTAGCGATCCTCCTGTCTCAGCCTCCCCAGCGCTGGAATTATAAGCATGCGCCACCACTCTGGGTCTACGTGGTCTGCACAGTGCATGGGGACTGGCACGGCACGGCATGCAGTGCCAGTACCCGAACTTGGGACCTTGAGCTTGCCAGGCAGCTGCTTAGGCCACGGCTGGGCTATCTCCCCATCCCAATTATCATCTTTCTAGTTCCCCCCTTTCTTCAGTTGCTTTCCAGGGCTTCTTTAGCACCTTCCCCTACTTTATAAGTCATCTTTAGGGAGACTCACTTAGAAATCTTATGCAAACCAGGGAAGGATGCTTGCCAGTTTCCCTGTCAGATTCAAGTGTGATTTTTTTGAAGTGAAAAATTCAAAAGCAAAATTGAAATTTTATTTCCCAAAGATTTAACTTTTTGTGGATTTGGTTCAAAGAAATGCCTCAGTAATGAAAAGTAAGTTCTTCCACAAAGGTCATAAGTCACTGCATAAATAAATAAATACATAAAAAATAAATAAATCTGTCTTTGACATTCTTAGGGAAGGAAAGAAAAATCTTGCTCCTAAAATACAGAAACACCTCCCAACTCTTCTTCTATTCTTGACACTGCTAGTAAACATTATTTATTTGTCTCGGATAGATGTGGTTACATATCACTGTCATGCAAAAGAAATTCATTTCCTTTCCGAGTTCAATCTGCCGTAAAAATTCACTCTTGTCCCCATCTCCCACTCACCTGTCCTTGTGCATTAGTAACTAGTTGACCCGTGACCCCCTGAAGGCTGGAGAGGGCATTGCCAAAGGCCTGTGAGCTTGCTAGGGAGCCCATGGCTGCAGCCGCTGCGGCCTGACTTGCTAGAGGATTATTAACCAGCTGCAAAGAGAGAAAAAATCAGGGTGAAAACCACCTAGAGGCACAGGCAAAATACACGGACAACATTCCCTGGGGACTGTGGTCCTCACCCCAATGCACTCATGCAAAGGACCCTGAATCCTGCTGAAGCACTGAAGTCCGGGGAGGGTGGAACTTTCTCCACCACCTCGGGGCCTTCTTTGTGGACCTTCAGTTTAGGGTAGACTCGGTGGGGGATGAACTTGAACTTGAGGGGCCAGGTAGGTTATTTGTGAGGATCTTCCAAATTGGAGTAATCTTTTCAGAGATTTTGTCCTCTAGGCTAGCTAAAACTTCAATGAAATGTCTAGTCTCTTTGAAGTAATTACGGGAATAAAACATGATAGGGTAGAGATAGGAGAGAGGAATGGACTTTTAGCATTTTTCTTTTGTGAATTTATCATGTCTCATTTGTGAACTGCAGTTTCTTTCAGGGGTTTTGGGTGAAGCAGGTGCCCCTGTTTTCCTCCCTTAAAGAAGGAAACTAGAGGTAGTAGAAATGGAAATCTGTTTTAATAACAGGCAAGTCTAATTTTGGGGTTTGGGTCTCACTCCAACCATGGGCTTCAGGATCAATGAGAAAAGACCTTCGGTGAACGGTCAGGCCGACATCTGCTTGCCGGATGTCGTACGTGCCCTTCCTTTAGCCTCTTCTCTGGGACAAGAGTGACACAGGGAAGAAGAAAGAAAAAGGGAGAGAGACCAGCTCAGGGAGGAGGTTATGGCTGCCAAAACCTGTTTTTCCATGGAGACCAATTCAATATTCTTTATCCTGCCAATTTTCCACGCCACAGGTTCCCAGGCTTTCTGACCACGAGGCAGAAGTGTGGCTTGAACTGAAATCTGCATTTAGGTTAATGACTAGATATAAATTCAAGAAACATTTAAACTAGTTTCACAGTATTGATTTTGATACATGAATTTCATTTGTATTTATTCTAGGGTGTTATTTTTTTCCCCCATATAGTTTCTCTCAAGTACAACAATTGTTGTGTATAATAATGCATTTCCCATCACGGGTTCCCACATCCATGAAATTCCTGCCTTTTAGCAGAAACCTGCCATGGCTAACACTTGGTGGAAAAAAATCTAATGCCATACTTAATTCAAATCCTGGAAGCTCTTCTAAAAATGCCTCCTTTTGAAAGGAATTTTTTCTTTACCTTTTTTCTCTTTCTTTCCTTTTCTCCTTCCCTCTTTCTTTCCTTCAGAACATGATTTATGATTTAATTCCTTTGGAAATTTGCCCCTAGTTTATAGCATCAGATGAAGGAGAAAATACTAAATATCAGAGGAAATGAGAAAAAGTAAGAATTTAATAATTTTTCCCATTAGTGATATCCTTATCGTACTGGTTTCTTTATTTATTTATAACCAAATCTCTGATAACCATTTCTACAGTAATCTCGTTGATCCAGCACATTGTTTTAGAGATGAAAATCCATTTTAAGTTCACTACTTTATATCTTTTGACTTTATCTCTCCTTCCAGAAAAAAAAAAAAATGATGGTTTTCTTTTTAAGGAAAGAAAAATCTCACTGTTTGGCCTAAAGAGGAACCCTGTTACAGCCCCCGCTAGCATCATAAGACTTAAAATACACATTGCCTGTGGTCTTGGTTTTCTGAGTATGCATAGAGTGTGTATGAGGCGAGTGGAGGTAGGCATCAAGAGAAGTGTTAGCTCAATTACATCCAGGGAGAAAAGTTAAACTGTATTCTTTCTTCTTCCTGCTGTCTTTCCTCTGAATGGGGCACGTTCAATGTAGATGACTCTCTAGCTTCTTATGGGTCTTTGTGGAAGGCACCTAGGCTCTGAGGAGATGCCCAGTTGGCCTCTAGCTCTGCAGCTAGGACTATAGGCACCAAGAGTGTGTGGAGGGTTCAGGTCTGTCTGTACCTGACTGCATTCTGGCTGCACCTATGGGTGGTATTGATAGATACGGCTTCATAAATACCTTCTGGCTTTTCTGTCTGTGACAGCCAGGGCGAAGATGCAATGGACGTTAGAATAAATAGCAGGGAGTGGGAAGGGAACAGTTAAGAAACCATAAGTGTTTTCCTCATCACCTCGGGTCATGTCATTCTGTATTGTCCCCAGTCATGTCACGTTAGCCATGTTCCTATCATTACTTCTTCTTGATTGGGGATTCAGGGTAGATTTGGACAGCAGCAAGTCCATGCACAATAAATGCACATAATGAGCATGTTAATATTTGTGGCCTAACTGGTTATTTTGGAGCTGCTGCCAAGCTTATGGCCTATCTTTCATAGCTAGTGTACCTACCCAGCAAAGAATAGCTCACATGAAACCTGACTGTACTACATGGTCATGTTTCCAAGAGATCAACTCGAGAGAGGCAGGCACAGAATGCTGGTGCATGCTTGTTTATTATACATGTGGGTGGTTTCAGAGCAAATATTTGCTGAAGGTGAAAGTTCTTATGTTATATCCAATTGGAACCTGGGTTTGAATATATTAGGCCATAATTCCAGAGTCCACAACTAGTCTAAAAATCTGCTCATAGAGGCACTGATTTCTTATGACATTTTTGTTCTTCCTAGAATTTTACAAACAACAGCAGCAGCAATAGCAGATCTATACCACCCCCCAATGGTGGGGATCAAACCCAGGGCTCTGCAAATCCTAGAGAAGTGCTCTGTCATTGTGCTGCATTCCGGAGCCTACAAAATAATCTTTAAACACAGCTTTGCATCTTTGAAGTAGATCTTCGGACCTCTCCTTCCCCCTGCTCATCCTTAATGCAGCTGTGGGAATCACTGGGAAACCAGACTGCTCTGGTTTGTGACTCTGCGTAACCACACCTTATTTTCTCATGGGTAAAAATAAGTATAAAAATAATACAGGGCTCTGATTAGAATTCAGTGAGATAGCAGACAAACGTTTGAGAATAGTCCCTAGTGTCAGTCGTGTTCTTAATAAATGCTAGGTAATACTTCACAGCTCCTATTGCACATATGGGTTTTGAACTAGTCCATCTGTCAGAGTTAAAAGTCATCTCCAGGGCTAGGGAGATAGCTCAGCAGCTCAAGTGCCTGCCTGGCAAGTTCAATCCCCAGTACCCAAAACAAAACAAAAAACAAACAAACAAACAAAAACCCCAAAACCAAAAAAACATGTTAAAACTCATCTCCATAAACTTCTTACTTTAAAAAAATTTTTTTTTTTTTTTTTGTATTTTAGGGAAAGGTCTACAGGGTGTTCAGGGTCTCATTACTAGATCGGACTCCTAGGGATCCTCCTATTTACAGCCTCTCAAGAGCTGGGATTATAGGTGTGCACCACAACGCCCAGTCTCAATTGCCATTGGGGTGTGCCCTGGGGGAGGGGCTGGCAGGGCAGGTCTGGGGATAGAACTCCCAGCCTCTGTGCCTGCTTGCAGGTGTTTTAATCCGCTGAGCTATTCGACTGGCCCAAACATCTTTAGAAATAATGTAAAAAAATTCTGTATTTTTATAGCACTTTCCTTTTATATTTTGAGAAAAGGGAACTTTGCAAGAATCTACTAGTCAATTGACAGTCATAGGTAAGATGAATTTCACTTGTAGGAGTGAGCAAAATTCTTATTTTATTTATTTAAATATTATTTATTTATTTATTTATTTATGTATTTGGTACAGTGTCTCACTTGGACTCATAGGGGTCCTCCTATCTCAGGCTCCCCAGGGCTGCGACTACAGGCGTGCACCAGCATGCCTGGTTTCAGGGGCCAACACTAGGCACAGCATGTGGTAAGGGAGACTGAACCCAGCTCCTTGCGCTTGCCAGGCAGGCACTTAGACCACCAAACTATCTTCCCAGTCCAAAAATTTTTATTCTATAAGAGTTACTCAAAAGGACTATTCTAAGTCTGAAGTTAGTGGTTTTTTTTTTTTTTTTTGAGGGAGAGGGTTGGGGTGACAGACCAATAAGATCAGACATTACCTTTCCCCCCCCTGTATTTAGGGCAGGGTCTACAGGGTCTACAGGGTCTCACAAGGTAGATCAGACTCGTAGTGATTCTCCTGTTTCCAGCCTCCCAAGCGCTGGGATTATAGGCCTGCACCACCACGCCAGTCTCAATCACTGTCTCAGCACACCCCTGGGGGTGGGGCCAGCACGGCACGCCAGGGATCAAACTCCAGCCACTCCTTCTGCCTAAGCAGGCGCTTTAGTCCTCTGAGCTATCGGGCTGGCCCTTTTCTCAAAATATAAAAGGAAAGTGCTATAAAAATACAGAATTTTTTTACAACATTTTAAAGGTTCCCATAAGGGTATTCATTTTGAAATTTAATTCCTGCTTCACATCAAAATATTATGACTCATCTATCTCATGGTTGCTGATTTGACAGTGAGGATGTATAAGATAAAGATTTTCAAAAATTTTTTTTCCTCATTGCACTGCAAAAGAAATGACCAACAGAGTGAAAAGACAGCCTATAGGTTGGGAAAAAAAAATTCCAGCTAGATCTCAGAGAACAAATATCTAGAATACATAAAGAACTCAAAAGAATTGCAGTACAAAAAATAAAAGATCTAATAAAAAATGGGCAAGTAAAATGAAGTATAAATGGCCAGTAAATACATGAAGAAATGCTTAACATCATTGGCCATGAAAGAACAATATTGAGATTCCATCTTACTCCAGAAAGCACAGCCGCCATCAAGAAATAAAACAGTAATGGTAACAAATTCTGGAAAAGCTGGCCATGGTCAGGGAGAGGAAGGAATCTTTTTACACTGTGGTGGGATGGTAAATATGGAAATCCGGATGGAGATTCCTCAGCAAAACTGAAACTAGAAATTCCATTAGACCCATCCATTCCCCTTCTATGTCTCTTCCCAAAGAGTTAAAGATATCATGTTATAGTGACACATGCATACCTGTATTTATAGCATAGTTCATAACCGCTAAGTCTTGGAAAAGGCTATATTCCATCAACCAATGAATGGATAAGGAAAATGTGTCATTTACACACAATGG